ATTCTGAGTAGGATCTGTATTTTATAGACACAGATAACAAATATTTAAAGACTTTTTTATTGATCCGCAGTGGGCAATAAAGCAACTGCAAGTTCCCTCAGCTTATCCTGAATCCAAAATTCAAATGCACATTCAAGGGTACAGCTGGTGCTAAGTTTACAGGCCTGAAAAAAATGACAATGAAGCAAACACATGACAATGTTTAAAAAATATAAATATTCATATATATACATAAAGAATCTGATAAGAAATTGATTCAACATAATCTGAAGCAGAAACCAGAATGACATCCTAACTGTTGCTTCTATAAACTCTTTAATAGTCATAGTCATACCTTGCCTCTAATTCATTTACGTGGCATGAACCTCAGCAGTGTCAAGACAATACGAACGAGCTGGACAAGAGGTAAGTGAACAATTCTAGCGGAAGAAACAATGCCTCAATACTAAAGACCTTATTTGTATTCAGATGCATGGAAATCCTGGGAGCCTGGATAAGCGGCAGAACCTTTGTAATGAACTGGAAAATTCTGGGTTACACTTGCAGCTAAAAGGTGAAACAAAGGTCTCCTGCAGGGTGAAATCATTCTACGCTGCACTGTAAAAGAAAAGTGAATAGAGTCTTCATCAAGGCCAGCGATCTTTCAAGTACACTAGAATGCAAAGCACCAACACACATTGATTGGGCATGAGGCCGATCAATTAAAAGAAGGTTTTCGATAACAAATGCAAATACAATTCACATACATTCAAGGTCACTTCTGATATATGTTGTGCTTAGCTTCTCCTGTATATATTTACATGCATCTCGTACTGAGAAGTAAACATCGCCAGCGTTCAACTTTGATAAAGTTTGGAGAAACACATGGAAAAATAATCGCAGGTGTATATGTGGAGTTTTACTCCTTCGTTTTTTTTTTTTAACTTATGGAATACATTTCGTCTTCCAAGCCCTGGGAAAAACCATGTTCTTAGCAGTATTGCTTTTTCAAGGACTTTTGATTTGGCCAACATCTTCAGACGTGCTTTTTCTTCTTTATATTAATCACTCTATGATTAAAGCCACAGAAACTAGCTTCCAAATGCTTTTCGAGGACTCGATAATATGGTTGACACCTTTGAAAGGTCAGAAAACAGAGCACCATTAGCTCAACTCTAATGGTGAGCTCATTGTAGAAATATGTAATAGAGATAATATGTTGTATGTGTGGGGGGGTATTTGGTATTAGGTTTTCCTACTGTGGTTTCACACCATATAAATCCAAGGAGGTCAGGATGAACAATTTGCATCCCCACTCGGCTCTGGAGGAGGAAGCTATAAAACTATCTATGTTGTATTGAAACTCTATAGGAGTGTATTCCATGATTCAGTGACCATCCACCTGAGTAAAGCTAATGCTGGTTCACAGTGAGAGGCGATCACTGAAGATCAGTGCACCAGAACTAATAAAATTCACATGAAAGCCCAGACAAGAGGCAGTGGTATTTCTGCTGACGGCTGGTTTTCCATCTATCAAAACCTCTTTTTTTACTTACTACCTCCACTGAGGAAATGACTAGAAAACAGGATGAAAGGTATTGTGCTGTGGCATGTACTATATCTTGGGTGGCTTGCTTGATGGAATTGGCTCAGCGTGTGTGTCATGTTGTTCGGAGTTTGAGCGATATGGTAGTGTAGCTTGGTTTGGTAAGAAGGCAGGCGAGATAAAGAAAAATGATGTGGCTCATCTTCTGTACCTGTATTCTATCAGCTCACCGCAGACTGCAGATCCTGGCTGCAGAGATGAAAGACCCACAGCACGGGGACAAGAGAGATGTTCATAAGTCAGAGTAAAAATGGCATCCTGCTTATTAATTGCCTAGGAAGAAATCCTACCCTCCTTCTAGTTTCTTAGGTCTGAAGGTATAAATGAAGACTCTGTCACTTTGGGGAGTAGGAAGAAGTCAGAAGTTCTCCACAGCACACACAGAAAGAAACAAAAGGAGTTGGCAGTTTTAGAGTAGATGGCACTTTGCCAAGCTTCCCTGCTGCAGTCCAATGGAGTCTTGTTTCAAGTGCACGCTTTTGCAGACAAAATTAAACATTAGGAAATTGATATTGTAAACCTATAACAGATGAAACCGCAATCTTCACTAAAATAATGTTTAAGGTTTCAGGTGTCTGTTCCTGATCAGTATAGAATAAATACGAGAGAAGGTCTCTATTATGTATGAAGCAAATATAGACCTTTTGGTTTTTTTTAGCTTACTGCTCTGGTGTTAAACATGTGATACGATTAACCCTGAATTCCCTTTTACTGATAAAACTCTTACTGTTTGTTTGTTTTTCCTAGGAAGACCACATTCTTTAGTTGACAGTAATAGGTGTGTGATGCAGTTCCTGGAGCAACATGAGGGCTTACACATCTATGTGAATTTCTTTTTGGGGCTTATCTGCCCACAGCGGAATTCTGCAGAGACCAGGACTCACAGACTGGCTGCCTTCTTCTTGTCTCTCTGCCACAGCCTCCACTTCCAAAATTGTCTAAGCTTAAGAGAAAAAAAAGCATTTCCAAAAAAAAAAAAAATCGGATGATGTATTTAGCACAACTTGGTGGCAATGCAGGGATTTGTCAACCTGTTAATCCTGTGCCAATACAGCCTGTATAGAAAGTGTTGAATGAAGTAGTGGAGTGGCACCAAAGCATTACACCTAAATGACCCTTCGACACTTTCATTGGTTACTGTGTAAGCTAGGGCAAGGCAAAATGATTAAAGACGATATCAGTGCTGTAAAATATGGTGCATTTTTTATATAAACCTTTTAAATATTTTATTATTTACACATTACATATCTATATAAACAGTAAGCAGAGGCTAATTAATGGTTCTACACTGTAGCCCAGACCTTAAAGCCTGTACTACTACAGTAGTATGGACCTTGAAGCTGTCCTATGCAGTAATTGTGAAAAACATAAACAGCTCATTCAGCTGGCATTGTTCCTCATGAATATAACATTGAACCTTCAAGTCACTCCTTTACTGCCCACACATGGTTAACGCTGTGGAACAGGAAGGAGGGAAAAAAAGTCTCCTACTGGAGTTCTTCATGAAAAAAACAGTGGTACAAACCATGTTCAGTGGCAGGAAATACAAGCCTGGGTAACAGTGCACCTGCTGGGCAACATCCCTTTGGTACTTTCCCAAGGGGACAAGAACCAGGTTCCAAAGTGGACCAGCAAACTTCTAGCCAGCTGAGCAGCATCACAGATCATCCATTGTCTTCTTCCTGGTCCATTCATTCCCTCAGACAGTTTGAGGTTATACATATTGTGGGGTTAGTGTTAAAGGAGTCCTCCCACTTTGTAGCCCATTGTTTACAAAACAGACCTTCAGTAGGTCTAACCAACGTGCATTAATCATGACATGATGATTTGAGCCACTGCAGCAGATATCAGTTTGAACTGCCATCCAGGAGAGAGCGGCTCTCGCATTGATTTTCGCACAGAAACACAGAAACAGACACAATGTGAGAGACAGGCTGAAGGCAAATGTAATATGAGATCAAAATATGAGCTGATCAAGCATCACATCAGTGCAAATTGAACTTTACTCAAACCATTAGTGAGAGTGGGGTTTTAGCAGTCATGCATGGGGACATGTTGCAAAATCCCCCAGAGGGGTAAGTGTACATAACAAGTGCACACACACACAAACACACTCACACATGAACTGCAGCAAAGGAGGAAGCAATCCACACAATGCTCCCTGTCTAGACACAGCACACTCTGTTGACATTATTTGGTGTAGTAAGGACACCTCAGCCCATTTTCTAACACGCAAAGCCCACGATCCCTAAGCCCCCACAGGCAAACTCGCTCCCGACTGACCAGCTGTACTGTCCTTGTCAGCCTCCAAAATAACAAAATAACCTCAGGAATAATTCACTTGTTTTTTTGGGTTTTTTGTTTGTTTGTTTTGTTTTTTTTCTTATTTTTACCTCCCACCCAGAGAAGCCTCATGTAGCTGTTACAATGAAATGTAATTTCCTCCTGGCAAATAGAATTACATGTAACAACAGACAAATATTTGACTATAAAAGAACAGCATCAGGGGAGAGCTATGATTGTTCAACGCTGCTGCTGAGCTGTTGCCTGCATGTGTGAGTTAAAGTAGACAAAGGGGAAAAAATATGAGGAAATAGAAGAGTACAGCAGTAAGAATGTGTGGAATTGAAAAGCTGCAAATGTCACCGCATTTTAAAGGTAATACTTAGCACCTCTAGAGGTTTAAAGCTTTAGATATAGTTTGGTCTATTTAACAGTTACACAGTGGAACACAGAGTTTTTTGGGTTTTTTTTTAATCTGTCAAATAGCAACGCCGAGGTGTGAATGAGACAGACGTTTTTTCATTAAGGTAAAGCTTCACTGGAAAGTAAAGAACTCTCTGAAGATACAACTGAAGAAATATTTTGCATGGCAGGAGATGAACTCCGTATGCTGTCTGCATTGACAGGAAATGGAGCAAATAAAAGCAAAATTGAATTTCTCTCTGAAAAACATGAATAAAAAGTGTGGATGATGAAAAAAAAACAGGGCTTTCAGTTGTAAATATATAGGAGAAGGGGAGATGAGATGAAAGGCACCTCTCTGAGTCAGTCTACTACCTGGTCATTTTGTCATACATGATTCTCCCTCGTCTCAGATAAAAAAACACACCTTAACTGTTAGAAGCTGACACTCTTTTCTTTTTTTTTTAACAGAATGTTTTCGTTATAAACTAAACACATTCATCACAAACAGACATCGTTCACTGTTTCTTAAATCTACTTTGTATAATGTGCTCATGATGAGCTACTTACGTTGCACAGCCACAACCATTGTCTTTTCTCATCTGCTTAAGGTGTGATGGAGAGTCTCACACAGTAATATAAGCCACACGTCCAGGCACACATCCAGAGTAGGGGATAATTCCAAAAATAGAAGAGAAAATATCACCAGTCAATAAAACGAAAGGCTTACCTTTGAGAATGCTCTGGCCGTGCAGTAGGTCTCTGGAGACAATCATTGTGTAGAAGTTCTGGGAGAAGCCTGGTCTGCATGGGGCTTTGAGAGGCTGGCCTGCCTTATTCCCCTGAGGAATAAACACAAGACAGCCTGTTAAGCATTGGCAAATTGACTTGTGGCCACGGGGTTACAAGCTGATCTCACAGCCCTTTCAGACTGATATGGAACCTCGCAGTGGCTCTGGCTACAGTGGCTGATTTGTTTCCCAGTGCAGCATTGCACAGTTGAACCCTCACAATGTGGAAGTCCACACTTGAGGCAGTAGTAGATGAAACACTTTATAGCACTGCAGTCAAACCTCGGGTCTGACAGAAGACGATAACAGAGGAAACATTTTTTTTTTTTTTTTAACAATGATGAGGATCACCGTTACTACAGGTGAACACTACAGGGAAGTACAATGTTGTGATCAACATTCTAATATGTCGATGCTGATAATGGGACTAGATAAATATAATGATACATTTTATTTCCACACATGTATATAGTTAAACACCAAGATATACAGTGTGTGAGAGTCTGTGAGTGCGGGACGGGGTGGTGGGGGGGTATATTTAAAAGCACTGTTAAAACTTACAGGAGGTCCCCTATATAATTTCAGCTTTGTTATTCACACACTGCAGCAGCAACGATCCACTTGATTTCCTAATGCATTTTTATTGCATTGCATGCATTTTGCTGAGTAATACGGCCAAGTGATCATTGTGCACATCAGTTCGTCACTCTGCTGCTGTCTACAGATATTTTATTTGGAAATTAAGCAGCTTGTTAAGCAGAGTTTGCAAAGATACTAAATGCAGCAGACTGGACAATTTCCACCCAAATGACCAGGGACAGTCGGTTGACCGACGAGATGGAGAAGAACTGTGTGTAAACGCGCGTAAAGAAGTTGTTCACAGCCAACACAGCGATGAGCATCACTGGAAACCACTGTCCTCTGCATTTGATGCACTGCAGCTTCCTCTGTGGAGAGGATGGGGATGCTGATGGAGGCAGGTTACTGAGACTTTTTCCTGGTCAATCGTGGAGAGAGTGTTATGTCCCTGACCAAAAAGCTCTGTGTTCTCAGCTCAATACACGCTTCATCGCTGCCTCCAACGCAGCACTGCGGGGAGAAAGTGCGCCCTTTACGGGGACTCACGCCGCGCACTGCAAACCCCTAAGTAAGCACTACAGCAGTGCAGCACTCCCGCACTAATATCAGCCGAAAAGACGCGAGAAGAGACATAAACTCATCTTACCGACGATGCTGACACAAGTAAGGTGCACGACAGGATGATCCAGCCCAAGCTCATCTTTGCATCAAGGAGGAAAAAGGGAACGGAATTAGTCTTATTTTGCCAAAAAAAAGACGTCTCGGTAATTCCCGAATCCGCGTTTCTGTAACTCGGATGCAGAGTCAGAGACAGACACTACTTGTCTGACGGAAAAGTGCCGCTGAGCCAGAGATGCTGCGTTCAGTTCAGAGGAAACCAGTTCCCATTGGATAGTAGCGTCACTACAACCCCTCCTACTGCACTGATGTGTGCGCGTGTGTGTGTGTAAAACAGTTTCAAGCCTTTTTACATTATGGTTTTGGAGGATGAGGAAAGTTGAAGCAGATTCAGTTGTAAGATTTTTTATGTTCTACTGAAAGAAAATATTTTTTTAATTATTATTATCCTTAAAAAGTATGACTTGACCAGGTTTCTTCCTATAGATTATTTTTTTCACACACAATTAGACTTTTTAAATCAAGTTCAAGTGAAGTTTGCAATTCCATCTATTAATAAAAAAAAGAATATTACAATTTGCTCTTTCCTGAGACCCGTCAGTTCAGTGCTATCACCATCAGGGACCAACAGTCTGCGGCCCTGAGGTGACCTGACGGGACGTCACATGCTGTGTTTACTGAAATAAATATGTACACAACTGTTTACACTGTCCTTGAAAAATATCAAATATGCGTCACATTTGGACCAAAATTTGGATTTGGGCCATTTTGTGTCTTCCACATACCATGTCCTACATTGTCCCTATCTAAAATTGCACCCAATAATCTTCACCCGATATTTTATTAATTCTCTTATGGGAATATCTCTACCAAGCACAACGTGAAGGCCGAAATTCAGAAATAACAACTGAAGAGATTTAGAAGGACTGAACCAAGATCCTGTGTTCAGAAGGACAAACTGCTGATAGTTAACAAGCTTGACATCACTTTGATTGATAAACAGCAGGCGAAGGCTGTAGCCTTAGATCCGGAAATCCCAAGCGACAGCAACATCAAGAAGAAAACACACAAAGCTTGAAAAAAAATATCAAGAGCTCAGGCAGGAGGCTACAAACACACCAGTGTGAGGAACAACAGAAGCAGGAGAACCAGCACTGAACCAGGCTGAGGTCATGACCCGCTCACCCAGGGCAGGTGAACACTAATGAGACCTGTGTAAAAGGTTCCAGTGTTGTGCAAAGTTTTGTTTTGGTTAGTGTAAATATGAACGTATCTTCTATTAAATGACTTTGACATTAACCACTCCTCAGCTCAGTGCCACCATTTCCATATTTAAGAGGTCATGAAAATCTAATCCCATCAAAGACGGTAAAGGACGGTGGTCTATACTGTAGCTGTGGCAGTCAGAGACAGCTCAGGCCCAGCACTGGCATTCACTTCACTTCTTTCTTTACAGCAAAAACATTTTTTAAATTAATTTATTTTTCTATATTTTCCATTTGTTTAATATGAGGAGTATCTACAGAATAGGATGCTTAAGGCTGTGAGTAAAAAGGTATTGCTTTGCTACACCTCATTGAATGTTTGTTCAGAGCTTTTATATTTTATATATACAGTATATATACATATATGTATTTATGTATATATATATATTTTTTTTAAGGTCTGGGATTTCAGCCATCTTCATTACTTTTTTCTTTAGTGTACTCGGACTCTTGCTATTATAAATATTATAAAAACTGATTTAAAAGTCATAAACAAGATTTTATTTTTTCACCCCATGGTTATGAAACAGCCTTTAGTCTGGACTTTAGTCTTTAGCCTTCAAAAAAGTTTTTTTGTGCATTTAGCCAGGTATATGTGCACTGACATATAATGTTGCAGAGACCTGACACATATGAGCAGGCCTTTCTCTCTGCCTCTGTACGGTACGCTGCAGTTTCATGTGAATTATTTCTCTTGAGCATCAGAATTTTGGCCTAATTAAAATACCATCTGGTCACATGTGAAGTAAACTGCTGTAATGAATTATTAAACAAACTAACAAAACAACTCCCTGTTTTCTTTACTGAACATAAACATGGATGAAAAATAAAAGTACAGATCTGTTGGTCTGTCTCTCCAGCAAATTTCATTATCTCCCTCTCACTTTGTCTCAAAAGGTACAAAAACAATGATTAGATGCAGAGTGCTTAGTATATGCAATTAATTTTTGGTAGCGGCATAATTACTGTACAACAGCAGTTGATTTTCTTTTTATACCGTTAACCATTTTTATCAACTTCAAGTCTGCAGAGGCTCATTAGCGATTGAATAATTGGGGCGGCATGTTAAATTTGGTTTGGAACAAATATAATAATCCGATTTAATAAGTGAATATTTGTCCACACATTACTTAGCTCTTAGATCACAAAATGGTACTTTTATGAAAATATTCCACATGATTTGAACTGAATCAAAATGTGAGGATGAAAATACAGTCACAGACACAGTGACAAGTCCATGTTTTCTTCAAGGGTCTCGCAACAACAAAACCCACCTGGCACCTCCCAGTGTTTCTGCAGCAGTTAGAATGGACATGTTTTACAATGTAAAGCAAAATCATGTTACTCCATAATGCAAAGGCTGTTGTAGCCGGAGAGTCTGTAGTTGTATTCCCCCGTGTCAACATTCTTGGAATTTTTAAAATTCAAGGAATTATTTAAGTTCAACATAAATAATGTTGTACAACTGCAGATGCTTAAAGCAGCTCACCTTAAGCACAAAAGAGCATCACATGTACAGTACATTGCAACATACTAATGCTTGTACTGCATAGATCTAAGAGTACTGCAGTAACCAATAAAAAGACAACACTCATAGACTATTCCAGTTGTTTTCACAACCAGCCTAATGATTCTTTTTAAACGCTACAAACTCAGGTGTGTCTAATTAGGAAGACGTTCATGTTGCCTTACACTTATATAATATGAGCACATCAAGAGGCAAAGATCTAGTCTAATTCTGTTGGGCTACATCCAGGGTAACTCAGTTTTAGTGGATCATATATCATTTAGCTTATTTGTAGGGCTTGCCAGAGAACTACATGTTCAAAATACCCTGTTTTTCTCTTTGTGCTGAAAGGTTTATAGAAAATATATCACGCTCATACACGTCGCTGCTGTATTAATGTGGAATGCTATTCCCCTAGATTCATTTCCCGGGGGTTTTGTCATTTGTCACCTAACCACCTACAGTGTTTTCCATGCTGTTTTGTAATTTGTACGTTTAAAAAATCTTTACAGTTTCGGTTTGTTATTCATCCTGCGTGATCCTGTGACTAGGACTAGGAAATTGCACGTGATTTATTCTCGTCTGTGGTTTATTCTCATCTCTATGAGGACTCACTGTCAGACTGATACACTCTGGTGCGTGATCAAAGAAACACAGCTCTACCAGATAATTATCAAGTCTCCTCACTGTATTGTACATTTCAGGGACACTCACTAATGCAGTGAAGTATAATCCACATGGGAGACGGAGTTTTTTGTTTTTGTATAAAAGCCGCACAAAGTTCACTGCAGTTAAGATGTTGAAGGCACTTCCCGAATGATGCAACGGCTGCAACACTGTCAACTGTGCAGTAGCGAAGTAGCGCAACTAGCCTTGAAGAGGACACGCTTCTCACTGCTGACTAAGGCATAGAGAAACTTTACTGACGTTTCAGAGATGTGTGACAACAAACCTCTCCAGATTAATTCTTTTTCACACAAAAAAGAGATAATAGCTCCTTCACAGTGTTGTCAGAGTACAGAGCCTGTCTGAAGTCATTGGAGGGTTTCTAAGTTTTTCACTGACAGATGATTCAAAGAAAAAACAATGCTGGATCTACCAGCAGAGTGGAAAAGACATTAAAAGCCAAGACATGAAGATGACTGAAAATGCATTCCTGAAGTCATACAGCTTTGTTAAATTAATATACTAAATAGTAAACTTTCCTTTCCCTTTATTTTTTTATTTAATTTTGGATTAAAAAACACAACAAGCTCTCTTGATAGCTGGTAAAAAAAATAAAATTCATAATAGGATGTTGATGATTTAGTTGTAACGTTCATGCTTCATGCCTGCCACACAGGAAGTTCCCACTTTGCATACACCAAACCCCCAACTCCCAGCTCTGGTAATTTGTAGAAATGTTGCATCAGGAGGAAAACTCCAGCATGAAGGCTGTGTTGAGTCAAATTCTAAAAGCACAAGTTATAATCTGCAAAAACAGTTACTATTTATTTAATAATTTCTCTTTTCACTGAGGATCATACATCTTCAGTCTATGGATCTCATATTGACAGAAGGTGAGAAACTAAGAAAACAAATATGACATCATCAAGCTAAAAAGAATTGCATACACACATTCATGCACAAACACTGAGACAGAAGAGAGAGGAAGAATGAAAGAACAGACAGACACACACACACAATCCCCACAGTCATCTTAGATTACTTGGAACCGATATTTTGACTTCACCTCTTCAGCTTGAATGAATGAAATATTTATGTGCAAACACATCAGTGCCTGAAGGCCAAAGGAAGCCAATTATCCCTCTGTAAAAGACCAAAGTAAACATTTACCAAACACCTTGAGAGAGGGTGAGGACCTCTAATAAATAGCAAGCAAATTCAATACATGATCCAAATTATTTAATTGGCTGAGATTAAAGAATTTTTGTGGGTGAGGTTTTTGAAAAGACTTAAACATTTTTTTTCCTGCAGATGAATAGACATCGATGAACCAAATAGAAAGTGGTAATCAACAGGAAATGATCCCAACTCTCATCTTGTCTACATATGTATGGCGTCAATGTAACCATGCAAGGCTGAAACCCTTTCTATTATCTTTACAGAGAAATTGAACCTATTGAAATGTGTGTAATATCTCACCTTTAACTGCAGTTTCAAAATAGAACCTGAACATTATATAGAGGATGTTTGAAAAAAATGAGATGAATGAAAGTTTATATTGATTGATTTTTTCTTTTTCTTTTTTTTAATGTCAACCGGAACCTCGGAACCAACCGAGTATTGTCTTTGTCTCCTTCCAGCTGGCCGTCCAAATTCTTACATTTATTAGATGGTTTCATCCAAAGCGACTTGACTCACGATTCATCTGTGTTGTAAAAGAACCAAATTTGTCTACAAATTGTCTAAATACTGTAAACAGCATCTGATAAGATTTATATTCACGTCAGATTTTGCCGGGTGCTCGTCTAAACTTCATGCTCGTCTTTGCGTTTCACCACGGCTCGTGTTAATTGTTACTCTGTCAGTGGGTTGTTTTTTTTTTTTTTGTGAACTGTGTGTCATTTGTTTTCTTCATGTGAACTTGAACTGTTACTACGGCAAATGTTGCTGATGTTCCTC